ACCCTACGGGTTCGGGAGACATGCAGACATGACCGAGACGACTCTCCGGTCAATAACCAACAGCGGGATCTGGATACCCATGTTGGCTCCCACATGCTCCACGATGATCTCATCGGATGAACCATGATGTCGAGGATTCAAGCAACCCCATATGCAATTCCCTTTGTCAATCGATATGTTACTTGCCCGAGATCTGATCGTCGGTATCCCAATACCTCGTTCAATCTCGTTACCGGCAAGTCACTTTACTCGTACCGTAATGCATGATCCCGTGACCAGACACTTGGTCACTTTGAGCTCATTATGATGATGCATTACCGAGTGGGCCCAGTGATACCTCTCCGATATACAGAGTGACAAATCCCAGTCTTGATCCGTGTCAACCCAACAGACACTTTTGGAGATACCCATAGTATACCTTTATAGTCACCCAGTTACGTTGTGATGTTTGGCACACCCAAAGCATTCCTACGGTATCCGGGAGTTACACGATCTCATGGTCTAAGGAAAAGATACTTGACATTGGAAAACTCTAGCAAACGAACTATACGATCTTGTGCTATGTTTAGGATTGGGTCTTGTCCATCACATCATTCTCCTAATGATGTGATCCCGTTATCAATGACATCCAATGTCCATAGTCAGGAAACCATGACTATATGTTGATCAACGAGCTAGTCAACTAGAGGCTTACTAGGGACATGTTGGTGTCTATTATTCACACATGTATTACGATTTCCGGATAACACAATTATAGCATAAATAAAAGACAATTATCATGAACAAGGAAATATAATAATAATGCTTTTATTATTTCCTCTAGGGCATATTTCCAACAGCTAAAAGGTATGCTGGCTCCAGCAATCCTTCTATGGACTAGAGCAAGCATCTCGGAGTCAGAATATATGCTTTGATAGAGTGATCAAAGCTTTTAGGTTTATACAATGTTTGCTAGAAACTTGTATTTACAAGAAAGTGAGTGGGAGCACTACAACATTTCTGATAAGTATATGTGGATGACATATTGTTGATTCGAAATAATGTAGAATTTCTGGAAAGCATAAATGGTTGTTTGAAGAGTGATTTTCAAAGGAAGACCTGGATAAAGCTGCTTACATATTGGGCATCAAGATCTATAGAGGTAGATCAAAACGCCTGATGATACTTTTAAAGAACGCACACCTTGACATGTTTTTGAAGGAGTTCAAAATAGATCAGTCAAAGAAGGGGTTCTTACCTGAGTTGTAAGGTGTGAAGTTGAGTAAGACTCAAAGATTGACCATGGCAGAAGAAAGAGGAAGGACGAAGGTCGTCCCCTATGCTTTTGTCATAGGCTCTATACGGTATGCCATGCTGAGTACCGCACCAGATGTGTGCCTTGCCACATGTCTGGCAAGAGGGTACAAAGGTGATCTAGGAGTAGATCACCAGATAGCGGTCAAAATTATCCTTAGAGGAATAAGGAAATGTTTCTCGGTTATGGAGGTGATAAAGAGTTTGACGTAAAGAGTTATGTCGATGCAAGCTTAACACCTATCCGGATAGCTCTGAGTAGAGATACCGGATACGTATAATGGAGCAACAATTTGGAATAGCTCCAAGTGGAACATGGTAGCAGCATCTACGATATGACATAAAGTTTTGCAAAATACATAGGGATCTGAATATGGCAAGACCCGTTGACTACAACCTCTCTCACAAGCATAACATGATCAAACCCAGAACTCTTTGAGTGTTTATCACATAGTCATGTGAACTAGATCATTGAGTCTAGTAGACTCTTGGATGCTGGTCACATGGCGATGTGACCTGTGAGTGTTAATCACATGGCGATGTGAACTAGATTATTGACTCTAGTGCAAGTGGGAGACTATTGGAAATATGCCCTAGAGGCAATAATAAATTAGTTATTATTATATTATATTTCATTGTTCATGATAATCGTTTATTATCCATGCTAGAATTGTATTGATAGGAAACTCAGATACATGTGTGGATACATAGACAACACCATGTCCCTAGTAAGCCTCTAGTTGACTAGCTCGTTGATCAATAGATGGTTAGAGTTTCCTTACCATGGACATTGGATGTCGTTGATAACGGGATCACATCATTAGGAGAATGATGTGATGGACAAGACCCAATCCTAAGCCTAGCACAAGATCGTGTAGTTCGTTTGCTAAAGCTTTTCTAATGTCAAGTATCATTTCCTTAGACCATGAGATTGTGAAACTCCCGGATACCGTAGGAGTGCTTTGGGTGTGCCAAACGTCGCAACGTAACTGGGTGGCTATAAAGGTACACTACAGGTATCTCCGAAAGTGTCTATTGGGTTGGCACGAATCGAGACTGGGATTTGTCACTCCGTGTAACGGAGAGGTATCTCTGGGCCCACTCGGTAGGACATCATCATAATGTGCACAATGTGACCAAGGAGTTGATCACGGGATGATGTGTTACGGAACGAGTAAAGAGACTTGCCGGTAACGAGATTGAACAAGGTATCGGGATACCGACGATCGAATCTCGGGCAAGTACAATACCGCTGGACAAAGGGAATTGAATACGAGATTGATTGAATCCTCGACATCGTGGTTCATCCGATGAGATCATCGTGGAACATGTAGGAGCCAACATGGGTATCCAGATCCCGCTGTTGGTTATTGACCGGAGAGTTGTCTCGGACATGTCTGCATGACTCCTAAACCCGTAGGATCTACACACTTAAGGTTCAATGACGCTAGGGTTATAGGGAAAGTATGTACGCGGTTACTGAATGTTATTCGGAGTCCCGGATGAGATCCCGGACGTCACGAGGAGTTCCGGAATGGTCCGGAGGTAAAGATTGATATATAGGAAGTATGGTTTTGGCCACCGGAAGTGTTCCGGGCATCACCGGTAGTGTACCGGGACCACCGGAGGGGTCCGGGGGTCCACCAGGTGGGGCCACCAGCCCCGGAGGCCTACATGGGCCAATAGTGGGAAGGGATCAGCCCCTAGGTGGGCCGGGGCGCCTCCCACCAAGGCCCAAGGTGCCTCCAAGAAGGGAGGGGGGCAAACCCTAGGGCAGATGGGCCCTAAGGCCCACCTCAGGTGCGCCTCCCCCTCTCCCCCTTGTGGCCGCCACCCTAGATGGGATCTAGGGATGCCGCCACCCCTAGGGTGGGAACTATAGGTGGGGGCGCAGCCCTCCCTCTCCCCCTATATATAGTGGAGGCAAAGGGGCAGCCCAACACACGATTCGATCACCCTGTTGGCGCAGCCCTACCCCTCTCCCTCCTCGTCTCTCGTAGTGCTTGGCGAAGCCCTGCTGGAGTCCCGCGCTCCTCCACCACCACCACGCCGTCGTGTTGCTGCTGGACAGAGTCTTCCCCAACCTCTCCTTCTCCCCTTGCTGGATCAAGGCGTAGGAGACGTCACCGGGCTGCACGTGTGTTGAACGCGGAGGCACCGTTGTTCGGCGCTTAGATCGGAATCAACCGCGATCTGAATTGCTGCGAGTACGACTCCTTCATCCGCGTTCTTGCAACGCTTCCGCTTAGCGATCTACAAGGGTATTTAGATGCACTTCCCTTCCCCTCGTTGCTAGATTACTCCATAGATTGATCTTGGTGATGCGTAGAAAATTTTAAATTTCTGCTACGATCCCCAACAGCAAGTACTAGAAAAAAACAAGTTATGTGCTAAATTTTTGTAAGTTTATTTAAAATGGACAAGCATTATTGCTTCCTTGGAAAATAACAAATTATGTGCTAAAATGAATTGCCCTAAAAACATCTACAAAAGCAATATATTGCAGCTCTTGCCTTTCTCTATATAGGAGCAAACCAAAGGATGTTCTATTCAAATTTACAAGCATATAAAGCTATGGAATGTTAGAGCAACAAACGGTATTTTCTCGAATATTTGGACATTGAAACATTATCATTAGTTCAACTAGGATGCAATTTTTTTATTAGAGTGTATTCCAAAATTTGACTTTGCCCGATGCTTACTTTTCGGGTAACAAAATAATGGAATGTTCACCACGCAACGTAACACAAGAAAATGCAAGTTTCACTTAATTTTCATTAAAAATTGAATTCAATGAAATTGTATCAAATTATGTCAAATCAGTGCGGCTAGCCATACCACATTGCTTGTGCCATGTCAGATATAGACATGGGCATAGCCAAGCCAGGTCGGGTTTTGGGCCGATCTCTACAAAGCTCGTCCTAAAATTGCCAAGCTCAAGCCTCATGTGGTGCGATAACATGCTAAACGGCTCTTTTCGTATTGAATAATGACTATATTAGTTGTGGGATAAAACAAAAGTAGTATGCTTATTTTACCTAAAAAATAGCTAAGCCCACTCGTTTTGGGCTTTTGGCTTATTGGCCGGGCTGCTGGCTGAAAAGTGAGGCCCAAGCCCAGTTTTGGTTCTTGAGCTTTTGGGTCAACCTGACAGTTCTCTGTTTTTAGTCGGATATATCCCTAACGAATATGGGCCTGAGTTGTTAATCAAGTTAAATGCCATGTCATTCTGGCATGTGTTTGGTATGCCAATAATAAATATTACTACCTCCGTTCCAAATTAGTTGTGTTAGATTTGTCTAGATACGGATGTCCGTAGCACTAAAACATGTCTAGATATATATGTATCTAGACAAATCTATTACTGCTAATTCGGGATGGAGGAAGTAGTATATAACTCAAGGTTTTTTCAGCTTCACACAGCTAAAACATACTCCCTCGTTTTTTGACACTACACTAGAGTCAGCAAACGTCTTACATTATGCGACGGAGGGAGTAAAAAGTAGCAATATTTTCTAACGGAATCACAGTTAAAATGTAAAAAGGAGAATGCAGGTACCCTTCGAATCATTCATTATCGTCTTCGACAGCATCTTAAATCCGTAAAAGCTAATTAATATAAGGAAGTATCACTGCATTCCACTGGTAGTACAACACTATCATGCATCGTCCACAATCAAATTAACAAGAATGGATGGGCCAATCAATCAGAGATGCATGAGGGGCACGTAGTTCTTGAAGATGTGGTCGACGATGATCTCATACGCCCTCTGCGTGGGGTGGTAGCTGTCGAAGAACACGTGCTTGTCCACGTCGTCGCAGACCCCCATGTACCTCGTGTCACAGAGCATGGTGACCTCGATGAGCCCGGAGCCGCAGCAGCCGTGCGTGAGCTCCGTGAACCCCCACCGGTCGCCGTGCACGGCGAGCTCCTCGATGATGTCGTAGATGTCGAAGTAGACGACGAGGGTGTGGAACGTGGGGTCGGCGTTGAGCCTGTCGATGAGCTGCTGCAGCGCCTTGTTGTACATGAGCGCCGCGTAGTTCCGGCGAGCCTCGCAGCGCCGCCGCGGCCCGCCGCCGATGGTGCGCTGCGAGGGGACGCACCCGATGGGCGGCATCCCCGTGAAGCCCATCTTCCGGGCGCCGCGCGCGCTGGTGTTGCGGAGGAAGGCCTCGGCGCCGACCAGGAGGAGGTCCACGTACGCCGGGATGTCGTAGTCGCCGGCGCGGTAGGGCGTCATGAAATAGGTATTGGCGAAGTCGTCGGTCCCGGTGACCACGAAGAAGAAGGCGCCGGCGATGATGCGGCGCGTCTCGGCCTCCCCCACGATGCCCACCAGCCTGCGCCGGTACTCGTCGAAGAACTCCAGCTCCTGGTCCATGGTGAACACGTTCACGATCTGCGGGGTCAGCGGGTCGAACCCGGTGGCGCCCGACGCGAAGCTGACGCCGGTGAGGAGGTCCTCCGGCGTGTGCTCCACGTTCAGCCATGGACCAAGAAGAGGCTTCAAGTTAAGCCTCCGAGCTGAAATGCATTAAACCAGAAATTAACATGCTAGTCAAGCAGGCACACTACAACCACGATGAACAGTAAAATAACATGTGGCTTGCAGTGGTGCTCAAATTTTTGTCCACTGTTGAGCAGAATTTTCTTTGTTTACATGGAGATCTGCGAATGTTTTTTTGCACCTAATGTTTCAAGCACATACACCATTTGGTCATAATCTAAGCCACAAAGTTTCAGAACCTGTTGATTTTTTTTGCTGTTTTATTTTATTTTATTGTTCACCATGGGTCATGGATGCAGTGTGTCTCGGTGTAGCCAGAACTTTCCCAAGTAATTGATCATCGAAAAAATGTTAAGTAGTTAATGGATCACTTCTAAAACAAGTTGAGAACTACTCCAAAGTGAAACGGTTGAGTAGTTTGGGTCATAAAGATGAACAAAGGTATAAATTCATGGGGTATGCATCACTGATTGGACTGACTGCTGGGGTCCTGCAGATCTAGACAGGAAGCATATATCCGGGAAATACACATTGGTTCCTGGTTGTATATGCACCCTATATGGGGATTTCTTTTAATATTTTAATAAAAAGTCAAAACAGGAAAGAACTATTTTGACAAAACACTTGACTTACTTTTGCACTGATATATAAATGTCGACGAAAAAAAAGGTTGACCTCACAGCAAAAAAGACAAAATTTATTTGCTATTATAGGTCACTATTCACACCATTTTAGCCAAAAATTTGTCTTTTTTGAAAAGAAGTCAAAAGGATATTTTTTTTGTGGATTTTATTTCTCACAAGTACAATAGAAGGTCAAGTTTATTTCAAAAATATTTTCAGGAATTTTTGACTTTTTGTTGAATTACTAATTTTTTCCCATATAGGGTGCATATGTCCCCATAGACCAAAAGTTCCCCTCCGCATATATCCTCTCTACTGCACTGGTCATGCTTAACTACACACACACTCTCTCTACTCAAATGGCACAAGGCCATTTTTTTATTGAAGTTTTGGTCTTTTTTTTATTGAACAATTACCATTGTCTCATGCTTAATTACACACTCTATCTTTCTACTCATGCTTAAAAGTAAAGGAGCGCCTCTTTTTTTATTGAAGTTTTAGTCTTTTTTTTATTATACTTGTATGGATTTAGCCACTCGTGTGAAGTTGAGTCACTTGTAAAATTCCAGTAATTGTTTTGTTACTTGTAATTTGTTTATTTCTTTTAGTTTTGTATTGATGCAATTGCACTTTGTTTTAAATATAACTGCGCTTTCACTTTTTTTATGTTTGTTTTGTTTTTATTTGTAATTTTCAGTCACTTTGTTGTAAGTAGCCGGGTCATAAAGGTGATGAGCAAAGGTACAAATCCATGGAGTATGCAGCACTGATTGGAGTTGGACGGACTGGTCCTGCACAGACAGGAAGAATATATCCTCTCCACTGAACTGCTCATGCTTAATTACACCACACTCTCAACTACAGTGTTTTCCTTTTGAAGTTTCGGTCATTTTTCTAAAAGAGTGATTCAGTCACTTTTTGTGAAGTTTGGGCCGCTTTTTTGAGAAATTCTGCTTATTTTTGTTAACTGTAATTTTTTTATTTCTATTAGTTCTGTATGCACTTTTTTTGTCAACTGCAAATTCTGGTTATTTTGTTAACTGTGATTTGTTTATTTCTATTAGTTTTGTATGGCTTCTATTTGTGGAATTGCATTTTCTATATGATTACAATGTAACATTTTGATATTCCGCAACACAAACATTGGCAACATAGGCTCAAGTTTAGACCAGAAGAGGGAAGGTGTGACCGAAGTGCACACTTGGCATAGTTGCATGACAGCTGTGAATTGACAAGGCCAATGGATATAAGGAGGAAGAAGGTGGAAAAGGACCATATTCCTACTAGCTTAAACCCAAGACCTGGACGATATTTTTAACTGAGCACTAGGGAGAGGACAATACTCACACAAGGCAGGTCCTCTAAAGGAACATTACCAATATACGAAAGTAGTGTAAGACCCTTCCTCTTTTTGCGGGGAAGTGTAATACCCTTCTCATCAGTATCTCTGGTCGGTGGGCCACTCGAGAATGTCGATAGGAAGATCGGAAAGAAGGCAAGAGAAGATGTGTAAAAGTATATATTTGGAAATCATATGTCTGAATTTATCTTACTTCCATAGTGCATAGAGATTAGTTCTTTAATGAATTTATGCATATGCTTCTTCGGTAGAAAGAATGGTCAACCCATAAAAAGGCTGGACTTTTTTATTACTTGTGTAAAACGATCTTTTATTTTCTCTTGTGTTGGTTGTGTACATCGTGCTATGTAGAGACCGGCATTCCTTCGATGCGGTTGTATCACCTCGATATATCAACTAAACTTCATTAAGAAATAGAAAGAATTGTCAAGGAATAAGGTTATATAAAGACCGTGTCACCATAAAAAATAGAGAGAAAATTATCAAAGAATAAGGTTATATATTTGGAATACTAAATTTTCGCCCTATGCATCCGCAGGGAGTATCTATTTTTTGAAAGACATCCGGAGGGAGTATCACTTTTCTTTGCATGCAGGAAGTGACGTACGCATGCATGCATGCATGCTACTGATGTTACTCGAGCTAGACAGAGGGGAGGAGGTAAGCAGGTAGGTACCGATGAGGTCGGGGGGCAGGAGCGCGTTGGAGAATCGGCCGGTGGCGACATGGCCGGCGAAGTCCTTGCCGTAGGGCGCGTGGTTGGCCTTCATCCTCGTCGCCGGCAGGTTGTTGTTATTGCCGGGGTCCACGATCGAGTCGCCGAACACGATCAGCGCCGTCACCAGCGGCTTCTTATTACTACTCCCCTGCTGCTGCTGCACCGCCTGCGCCGTCATCGTCTGGTTCAGGTCCCTCCCGCACACTATCGCCGGCGCTGCCATCGCCATTGCCACCGCCGCCGCCACGAGCAGCCGCCACCGGCTGGTGATCATCATCTTGCTCCCCAACGTGATCATCATCAACTGGCCTCAACGCAGGGCGGCCACAGCTCGATCTGATCTATTTATACACGTCGTTCTGTCCATGGGTACACAGATCGTGAGCTAAGCCAGATAATGGAGAGAATGTACGCGCGCACAGTGCCGGCCGTCCCCGGGAACTGTTCTCGCATGTTGGGTTCCATGACTTTACAACCTAGCAGCAATCCATATCCGAGACAAGTAATTCCGAACGGAGGGAGTAGCAGCAATGGTGCATGCCATGCATGCACGGTGCAAGATCGATCGATCGATTAGTCGAAGATCAACGCGTTGCATTTACGAGGAGCACTGTTGCGTGCATCAAATGGGTATATTTATGTGTGCATCGACAGCAAGCTGAACACTGGACAGGTTGCATGTTCTTCCTGCCGGACAGACAGATCGAATAATCCATCCATCTCTTCACCAACTTTGGTGGGCATTCATTACTGATCCATTATGTATGTATATGTGTACGTGTTCTCCATTGATAAAGTAGAGTACGTTGACGACTTGTTTAGATGGATCTGTGTACATGATGCATGAAAGCAAGTCACTGAGACTGAGAAACATTCGTTGTTGCAGCCCATGCATGCATGCATGTGCATTCATTCATTGGCTATACATACATAGTGTGCCCCCAACAGACTCCTTAACGTGGCACCATTAATGTACTACTCTGAAAAGAAGGGCAGGTGCGTCTACCACTCTGAGAATGCAACGTGTACTCCGAAGAATATATGTCGGGACGCATCTCCTATCCTATGTCGATCCAGGGAAACATGGAACGTGCAAAATTGCTTCTGCGAAGGCAATGTGATGACATTATGAGCCCATGTATATCACCGTTGCTCCTCGTTCTAAGGCAGCCGAAACTCGATTCTGATTTACATGCTACTTCTTGCTTAATTAGGAGCTGTGCAAGATGAAAGGCCATGTATGATAAGAAACTAGTAGTTAAGAGGCTAGCCAGGAATTCTTTTTCGACAGTGACTCCCCCAATTGGTTGTTAAATCGTTCCTAAATTAAGCAGCTGATTCAACGCCATACATGTACATTATCAATAGTTTTGCTTCAAAATGGAACACACACAATCTAAGAACCCTACACTAGTTTATAAGGCTTCATGCATTGTTTCATGGAGTCGTTGGTCATACAAACGAGTACTCCCTCGATCCAAGTTAGTAATTGCCAATTGTCTGCGACAATTAATTTGGATCGGATTGAGTACATGGATTGGCTCACTATGCATCTATCCCCTAATACACCTAACATTAACGAGAAAACATAAAACGCTAGTAATACAATCGACGCTACACAAAGGGAGAATATTGAATGGCATGTAAAGAGGACAAACAAGCATGTTCTAGAATGGATTATCTCTTGGCGTTGTGTAGCAATCAATGATTGTATGGCCCTAAAATTATGGGTGATTAAATTGAATCCGGAAAATATGTAACTAAGAGAAGATATATTATACAATGAAGAAAAATGTTGTGTACTGTATTTCTTATTAGGCAAATTTTAACATGGTCCCTCTTACCTTCTTTTTTTACATGTGAGGTAAGAAGGTAAGAGTCAATCAAGCCATTCATTGATGAGATCAACGGCTAAGATCTATTTTATACTCTTACCTCTCATGTGAAAAGAGGGGGTAAGAGGGACCATGTTAAAACTGCTCTTCTTATTAAGAGATCACCTACTAGCTAAGAGAAGACAAAACTATTATGTTGATTCTTCTCTCTTCCAACTTTAACAATTATTCTACGTGGTATTGCTAAGTTAGCACCACTATATGTGTCCTAACCACGAAGAGGCCCGACACACCTAAAAAATAGGGACTAATTAGTCCATTGATTTCCAAAAATCATACAATTTTTATTAGATGAAATTACCCTTCTCAAAGCTTATGGAGGGAGGGGGGTACCATACGAAGACTCGATTCTCAATATTTCTTTCTATTCTCTTCAAACAAATATGACATTTTTCTGAAAATTCTACCAATTGCTAGCATATTTTTTGGGAATCTTCTTGGACAAGGGAGATGAGAGAGAACTAATTCATTAATGACCACGAAACCTACCTAAACATGATCGAAACCTACCTATGTATAGCTGGTCTTTGTGAAGAAACT